TGAGGCTGATTGCAGGAGATGTATTTAGGAAGGACCAGGCCTGTGATCAGGGCCTTGGTGCATGTTTCCCATGAGCCCATCTACCTGCATCCTGTCTGCTTCCTGCCTGATCCTGACTCTGAACCTGACTCTGAACGAACTCCACCTGTCCTGACCTCGGCTATTCCTGACCACTCTTCCGCTCGCTCCTGGTACCCTGTTTGCCCGTTAGCTATCGACCCGGCCCGCCTGACTATGTTGTGCTCCATATATATAGATATATATATATATCTATATATATCAGTTTAGGTTTGGGTTTGCTTCACCTTGTTGTATGTATTTGTGTTAGTTTTGGGCTTGGTTTGTTGCACTGCGTTTATGTTTGTGTTGTGCTTAATAAATTATCTTGTTTACACGCTATAACTGAAGTCTGTGTTTCCCTGTGTCGGTCCACACACCTCTGGTCATTCCCTGAGCCCTGACAAATACTGTTGCCACATTATGTATTTAGCTAGGTAATACTAGGACTGCATTTTCCTTGTGCTTTTTCTTCTTACCCACTGTTCTGCAGGTTCCAGGACAGCTGCTTTCTGGATACAGAACTGAGAAGAAGACTTCTGCATTTCATGAAAGATTTACCTCGAGGGGGAGGTACTTCATGTTATTGTTTGCCATTTTGAGTTTATGTTGTTATACATATGTTAATGTTTATTGTTCATTCCTCTGCTAGTGGTCAAGTAGACTTAGTCAGGTTGTAAATATGCTCTTCATGTAAAAATTTGTACATAATGCAAAATCTTTATTTTTTAATATAAATATTTATTTGTACATATATTTACCCTTTCCCTAGTTTTGTACTCTTTTCCCCTCTCCCAGTTTTTGTATGGGATGCTCCACTCCTGGACTCAGGAGCCATTTTGTTTTTCCCCCCAGCCAATGAGGACATGGCTGTGCTTTTAGTGGGGGGAGAATGTAGCACCCTCCTAGGTAGCTAGGGGAGCTAGACTCCAATGGTTAGATAGGGACTGAGCAACAGCCCAGGTGCTATAGCCAGAGTGGGGTCAAATTGTGGTCAGGGCTGAGAGGCCCTGCAGGCCAGCCCCTCTGGAATTTCCCCCTGCTCTAGAGCTTTGGAGGAAAGTCTAGAGGCTGTGGGTGGATTGAGGAGTGGCTGACTTGTACTCTTGAAGGAACTTGGCCAATCCCCAACATAAGGCTTGGAAGGGGCCAGGACAACCCTTAAAAGTAAGAGAGCCTGCTCAGTAGCAGGAATGGGAGGAGGAGGAGGAAGAGTGCAAAGGGATATTCAAAGACTTTCTGAATTACATTTTCTAGAGCAGTGGGCTCCAAACTGCGGCCCTGGGGCCAGTTGTGGCCCTTTGCTTGCCTTTATCCAGCCCTTGAGGCTTTATTCCTGCCACTGACACCAACAATGGGGCACTATTTCTCCCACTGACACCAACTATTTCTCCCTCTAAAACCAAAGATTAAGCATTGTTTACTCCCACTGGGCACAGTCCCACCCCCTAAAGTCTGACAGATAGTAAGCTGGTCCTTTCTTTAGAATGTTCGGATAGTTTCTATAGCTTATGACAATACAGATAACAATATGGATAAGGGTATCAGCTGAAATTGTTCTAAAAGAGCAGGATCGTCAAAAAAAACAGGTTCATGTTCCCTATTCATATGTCCTGTCCAGTTAGCAATGGGAGGGTTAAGTAAGGGAGGGTTATAACCCCTGTATGTTTTTTTTGCCTTCTGTGTCCAGAAGGTTGGATTTCCCTTTACTTTCTGTCCCATAGGCAAATCGGAACTGAAAGGAAATCCCTCCAAGTGAGGAAATCGCTGGCTGTCAACAGGGTCACCAGAACTTAAATTGTTACTAAACCAAGAACTCTGCATTCACTATATCTTGTCCCCCACAGTACACAGAACATGAAAATGCAATTATTTTAGTAAATATAAACTGCTAAAAATCTTTCCTCATCAGCATTATATAGCAGTTTTGTGACTTCTATCAGCATCCAGCTGACCACTGGTTAAAGCTTGTAGGAGGCGTTTCATTCTGCTCTGACTGTCCTATGAGGCTGCATAACCCCTGACCCTCTCTCTGGACAGTGCTGATTGGCCCTGTGCTGATCGCATACACCCTCCCAAAGAAAAAAATACCTTCTAGCAATACACACAAAAATTGAGTATCTGCACTCATAGAGCTCTGTACTATCAGCAGATGGATTGGGGACTGCGGAATAAGGGGGGGGGGGGGGGGGCAAAGAAGACAGGATCAGTCTTTTTATACAATGTGGAGGACTGACCCCTTAGGTTCTACAGTGAGTATAACAGGCATTCTCTACTGCATATACAGACTGATTTTACTGTTGTGGGTTTAGTAACACTTTAAGTCCCCATTGGAAAATTTTGCCTCTATTTCTGTTCTGGTGACAATCCAAAATTTATGATTTTCACTTGCTTTCACTGTTGATAACAGTAAACAGGTCAAAAGGAAAAAAATTAATCTCCCTAATAGGGGTATACATATGGATAAAAACCCAACAGATGTTCTAACCCCTCTCCACTCTATCCAAAACTGAAAAAAAGTTTTGCCTTTATACTATAATCTGTATTGGGTACTTTTCATTTTCACTGAGACATCCCATTAGACGTCTAATTCTATTAGGGACTTCCTCAGGCATCTACTACTACTCCTGAGGAAGTGGACTGGACGAAACATGTTGAGTGGGTAGGTATGTGTGGTGTCAGATGTTAACAGGAAGTTTACTTTTGGTCTCCTTGTCTGAACTATTCAGTGGCAATGCAAAAATCCTGAGATGCTACCGCATTATAGCATCTATGAATTTAAGTGTTTTTATACCATTATTATAATTATGTCGCTTTCACTTCTCTTGATCCAGCACCGTGCACAGCAACAATGGCTCTCTCCTCTTCTCCACGCTCTCACAGGCTTTGCTGAGAGCAGTGGGAGCCATTGGTTCCTGCTGCTGTCAGTCAAATCCTGTTACAAGTGATCAGGAGTCTGGGCCAACAGGGCTGTGTCAATGGACACAGACAGTAGGGCTTGGGATTAAGCACGCAGGTGTACCACGATAAGGTGTGGTTATCTATGGTGGCACAGAGAAGGAGTCAGGAACTCCTGCAGGGAACCCAAGAAGAGGAGGTTCAGGGCCGCTCTGTGCAATTCCATTGCACAGAGCAGGTATGTATAAACCTATTTGTTAGGGCTCATGTAGACGGGGCGTTTGGAAAACTCTTCTGACCACTGGAAACTGACTGCTAGAAAATGTAGGTTAAAAAACGTCACTTTAGCTGCGTTTGCATACCGCGTTTATACTCGTTAAGCTGTGTTTAGAAACGTTAGCATTTAGAAGCATTTTTAAAAGATAACCTCAGGAAACCCTCCCAAATGCCCAGAATGCACTGAAAAATAGTAAATAATTAACTATTTCAGACATTTTGAGAGAAATAGAGAGAGCAGAAGCAGAGAGAGCAGTATGTGTTGAGATTCTTTTCTGGTTGTATTCACTATGGATCCCATCATGAGCATAATGCAACACGTCCTACCATTTTTTCCTTCACCTGAAACCTGGAACTGACTGCGCTGGTGTACTAGGTCCATTTGAACACATGGAAAATGCTTTGCATGCATTTTTGATGAAGAAAAAAGGCTCTGGACAGCATCAGTGTCAGGAATAGACTGGCCAGCAATGGTGGGACTCACCTGCCTTTTGATCTGCAGTACCAGGGCTGGCCAGCGGATGCTCCCAGCAATCAGAGACTCAACCTTTCAGCCAGCTAACACCTGGAACTGATGATACTGGTGTATTTAAGGGATGGCCAGACTTGCAGACTCTGCCTTGGTGTTGTGTTTGTCCTGGGCCCTGTATCTGTCCTGCATCCTGTTTCTGTTCCTTTGCTGACTTCTCCTGCTCTGATCCTGGCTTGTGACCCTGACCATCCCTCTGTCTGACCCTCTGTACTACGCTGCTTGCTACCTGTTCTGATCCCTGGCTTGTGACCCGGACCATCCCTCTGCCTGACCCTCTGTACTATGCTGCTTGCTACCTGCTGAACCTGGCCTGTGACCCCGACCATTCTCCGCTTGCTCCCCCTGTACCTACCTGCCCAATTGATATTGACCCGGCCTGCCTGACGACGCTTGCTTGTATATACTGTTATCTGTGGGTGGTTGGTTTGGTTTGTTTGCACTGTATTATGTTTAGTATTGCACTGCGTTTATGTTTGTATTGTTAGTGTTAATAAATTATATTGTTTATAACATATCTGAGATCTGCGTTTCCCTGCTTCAGTCACACACCTCTGGTCATACCTGGGAGCCCTGACAATCAGGATATGGACCTGTCAAAAAACACGTCTAAAAGCAAACACTTGTAAACGTGGTTAACCGCGTTTGGCATTTGAAACATTGGTAAAATCTACTCCTGAACGCAAGTTTGGTGCGTTAGAGAAAACGACTGTAAACTCAACTGCCTGTAAACGACTATGTGTACATGGATACATAGGAAAATGAGAGTTCAGTTTAGAATGGGGTGCCTCAAGACTGTCCATGATGTTAAAGGTTGCCTTGGGACTGTCCATAATGTTAAAGGGTGCCTTGGGACTGTCCATAATGATAAAGGGTTCCTTGGGACTGTCCATAATGATAAAGGGTGCCTCGGGACTGTCCATAATGATAAAGGGTGCCTCGGGACTGTCCATAATGATAAAGGGTTCCTTGGGACTGTCCATAATGATAAAGAGTGCCTTGGGACTATCCATAATGATAAAGGGTGCCTTGGGACTGTCCATAATGATAAAGGGTTCCTTGGGACTGTCCATAATGATAAAGGGTTCCTTGGGACTGTCCATAATGATAAAGGGTGCCTCGGGACTGTCCATAATGATAAAGGGTGCCTCGGGACTGTCCATAATGATAAAGGGTTCCTTGGGACTGTCCATAATGATAAAGGGTGCCTCGGGACTGTCCATAATGATAAAGGGTGCCTCGGGACTGTCCATAATGTTAAAGGGTGCCTCGGGACTGTCCATAATGATAAAGGGTGCCTCGGGACTGTCCATAATGATAAAGGGTGCCTCGGGACTGTCCATAATGATAAAGGGTGCCTCGGGACTGTCCATAATGATAAAGGGTGCCTTGGGACTGTCTATAATGATAAAGGGTGCCTCGGGACTGTCCATAATGATAAAGGGTGCCTCGGGACTGGCCATAATGTTAAAGGGTGCCTTGGGACTGTCCATAATGATAAAGGGTGCCTCGGGACTGTCCATAATGTTAAAGGGTGCCTTGGGACTGTCCATAATGATAAAGGGTGCCTCAAGACTGTCCATGATGTTAAAGGATGCCTCGGGACTGTCCATAATGTTAAAGGGTGCCTCGGGACTGTCCATACTGTTAAAGGGTGCCTTGGGACTGTCCATAATGTTAAAGGGTGCCTTGGGACTGTCCATAATGATAAAGGGTGCCTTGGGACTGTCCATAATGTTAAAGGGTGCCTTGGGACTGTCCATAATGATAAAGAGTGCCTTGGGACTATCCATAATGATACAGGGTGCCTTGGGACTGTCCATAATGATAAAGGGTGCCTTGGGACTGTCCATAATGATAAAGGGTTCCTTGGGACTGTCCATAATGATAAAGGGTGCCTCGGGACTGTCCATAATGATAAAGGGTGCCTCGGGACTGTCCATAATGTTAAAGGGGGTGCCTCGGGACTGTCCATAATGATAAAGGGTGCCTCGGGACTGTCCATAATGATAAAGGGTGCCTCGGGACTGTCTATAATGATAAAGGGTGCCTCGGGACTGTCCATAATGATAAAGGGTGCCTTGGGACTGGCCATAATGTTAAAGGGTGCCTCGGGACTGTCCCATAATGATAAAGGGTGCCTTGGGACTGTCCATAATGTTAAAGGGTGCCTCGGGACTGGGGGTGCCTTGGGACTGTCCATAATGATGTTAAAGGGTGCCTTGGGACTGTCCATAATGTTAAAGGGTGCCTTGGGGTGCCTCGGGACTGTCCATAATGTTAAAGGGTGCCTTGGGACTGTCCATAATGATAAAGGGTGCCTTGGGACTGTCCATAATGTTAAAGGGTGCCTTGGGACTGTCCATAATGTTAAAGGGTGCCTTGGGACTGTCCATAATGATAAAGGGTGCCTTGGGACTGTCCATAATGATAAAGGGTGCCTCCATAATGGACTGGGACTGTCCATAATGATAAAGGGTGCCTCAAAGGGTTAAAGCCTCGGGACTGTCCATAATGTTAAAGGGTGCCTCGGGGGTGCCTTGGGACTGTCCATAATGATAAAGGGTGCCTCTGGGACTGTCCATAATGATAAAGGGTGCCTCGGGACTGTCCCTATAATGATAAAGGGTGCCTCGGGACTGTCCATAATGATAAAGGGTGCCTCGGGACTGTCCATAATGATAAAGGGTGCCTCGGGACTGTCCATAATGATAAAGGGTGCCTTGGGACTGTCCATAATTTTGAAGGGTGCCTTGGGACTGTCCATAATTTTGAAGGGTGCCTTGACTGAAAAAAGGTTGAGAAACGCTGCATTAGATAAAAAAAAGGGACATCTGAACAGCAAAAAAGGGCAGAAGGATTTGGTTCCAAAAGAGGCCTATTCTCTCTGAGCCTGGGTTCACACTGATTTGGTGCGGAATTCGCAGTGTTTTCTTTGCGAATTTTGCACCGCATCAGTATCGCACCCTGTTCCTGCAAACTGCTGCGGGTGTGTATGTTAAGTTAACAACACCCCGAAATCGGTTTGCAAAACACTGTGCGATGTGCAGAATCAGATCACATAGGTGTGAATACCCATGCAATCCGATTCCAGCGTGGAGCCAAAAAAGGGTCCTGCACCTTTTTGGTGCAGACATGGTGTGATTTGAGCCATACATAATGTATGGCTCAATTCACACCGCACAGAATTCGCTTGTGATTTGCACAGGAATGCGGTGTGGTACCTGTGCGAATCACATGCAATGTACCGCATCGCATGAGTGTGAACCTAGCCTAAATGGGGATATAGGACAATTGTATTTCTCCAATTTCCCTTGAGTTTCTGTACTCTTACTTCCTGTGTCTATTCTCTCTTTTTCACTTTTCCTCCCACCCTGGTACTTTCCATTCTCCAGGCCAGATGTGAGAATAGAAACTGAAAGCATGGAATGGGAGGGCTTACAGCTCGTATACTTATACCAGCAGATGACAAAACAGAAACAGCAGACGCCTGTGAACTGAGGCCGAAGCAGGACAGGAAGAACGCAGATAATAATCGCTAAGTGGTTGAAGGAATACCAGAAGAAAAGGTAATACAGCAATTGGCTAGGCACAGAAAGGCAAACTGTCAGCTCTAATCCAGGCTAAACTGATGAATGTGTTGTTACTGTTTTAAATGACGTTGATGTTTGTGTACGTTTATAAATAGGCAGAAATCATTATGACTCAGGAAGACTAATACTTTCGGTATGGCTAAATAGGGCCTTCTTTTTTCGAGGCATATAAAATCACATAGAAAATTTACAAGTAGGTAAATTTAGGCCTACTCTGGCAGTTGGAGAATGACAATTAGAATCTGGATGATTCATAACAAGCAGCACAGACAGTTCACATTTTAGACACTTTCGTAAAGGAGGACAAAAACTGATTCATTGGTATTATCTGGTTTCCTCCCACACTCCAAAGACATGCTGGTAGGTTAATTAGATCCTGTCTAAATTGTCCCTAGTATGTGTATGGATGTAAGTTATGGACTTTAGATTGTACGCCCCTTGAGGGTTAGGGACTGATGTGAATGTACAATATATATATGTAAAGCGCCTGCGTAAATTGACGCTGCGTAAGTACCTGAAATAAATAATTATTCACAGCTGATGATGTCACTGAAAGCTAGAAGGAAAGCATACATGGTCAGTATACGTTGTTATTGTGGGTTGTAGGAGGAGGGAATGATTAGAGAGGGGGTTTTTTTTTTCAAAAGGGGGTGTGGCTTGTGTGACTGATAGATCAGGTAATGGCTAGAAAAGATCAGGTTATACATTATTTAAATTGACATTTTTTGCAGTTCCACAGGGAGAGGTTCTTAAAGGGACAGTAGTTTATGTTCACAGTTTTGAGGTTGATTCACAGAAGAAATACATTTGTGATCTGTATCAGTAAAACTATATTCACTTTAATCATCCAGCCGAGCAAAAGTAAATCCTGATTGGGTGTTCCAATTAAACATTGGCTGATGTGAAAATGAATTCCTTTACAATATCATACTCTTTGAATAATATTAAAAATAAATGTTCATGTGACTTTCAACATCATCTCACTTTCCCATTTTGCTTGCTCTTCCATATGTAGGTCACTGTATTTCGTCAAAAATAGATTTGTGAATGTTCCCTTTATTAGCCATCTGTATATCAAGGAATTATATTTTTATTCTCTGACTTCTGAGATAAATGAAAACAGAGGCTTGTTTTCAGGCAGTTTAGACCTAACCCATAAGCCGGCCATAGATGGATAATCTCGGCTAGTTCAACAGGGAACGGGAAAAATTTAATCCATCTATGGGCAGGTTGGTCATACTGAAGTTGATTCGGCTATAGTTAGCAGGTGATCATTGTGTTCTGCAGGGAAGGCTCCCCGTTGGCAGAATACAAGTACGCTACGGGAGATATTGATGGGGGAATCAAGCAATTTTCTTTCCTTCCACCCGTGGTGGAAGGCTCCCCGTTGGCAGAATACAAGTACGCTGCGGGAGACATTGATGGGGGAATCATGCAATTTTCATTCCTTCCACCCGTGATGGAAGGCTCCCCGTTGACAGAATACAAGTATGCTGTGGGAGATATTGATGGGGAATCAAGCAATTTTCTTTCCTTCCACCCGTGGTGGAAGGCTCCCCGTTAACAGAATACAAGTACGCTGCGGGAGATATTGATGGGGGAATCAAGCAATTTTCTTTCTTTCCACCCATGGTGGAAGGCTCCCCGTTAACAGAATACAAGTACACTACAGGAGATATTGATGGGGGTATCAAGCAATTTTCTTTCCTTCCACCCGTGGTGGAAGGCTCCCCGTTAACAGAATACAAGTACGCTGCGGGAGATATTTATGGGGGAATCAAGCAATTTTCTTTCCTTCCACCCGTGGTGGAAGGCTCCCCGTTGGCAGATTACAAGTACGCTGCGGGAGATATTGATGGGGGGAATCAAGCCATTTTCTTTCCTTCCACCCGTGGTGGAAGGCTCAATGTTGACAGAATACAAATACGCTGCAGGAGATATTGATGTGGTAATCAAGCAATTTTCTTTCCTTCCACCCGTGGTGGAATTAAAGGAAATTGTATAATCTATGACTTGCCATAAACTTGTACTGAGAGAGAAGAGCAGTAGATTGTGTAGTACAGCTAAGCAGGAAGTAGAGCCTGCAAATGTAATGAACAAATATAGATGACCCCCATATCCATAAATCTTTACAAGCAATACACAGCAGCATAGTGTTGTATGATGTTAGCCATCAACAAAGTACCGAAGAAGGTGAAACAGGAAGGCGCTTCTAAGTGCAGTATTCCAGGTCAACGTTAATAAAAAAAGCGGTTAAAAATGCTTACAATGTAGTAGAACAAACAGGCTCTAATGTAATTTGTCAGTAGCAGGGCTCTGTCCTCTGAGTGATGGAGTCACTGTGCCAGCCAGCAGCTGCAGGGGGAGCTTCAGGAGAGGTGTAAAATATGGCTGCCGCTCTGTTCGGAGCGCTGGAGCACACGGTGGAATGCACGCTGCCCAGGGACCGGAAGTGATGTGAGCATGGAGTGGTGACGCGTTTCTGAGCATGAGCAGAACTCCTTTAAGACCAATGTCCAGGCTTAGGGAGAGCCAGTTAAATAGGGTAAAGAGACGAGAAAAGGGGCGGTCAGTGGGAAGGAAGGTACATGCCTCCCAAACACCATGCTCCAAAACGCGTCACCACTCCATGCTCACGTCACTTTCGGTCCGTGGACAGCATGTGTTCCATCGTGTGCTCCAGCGGTCCGAACAGAGCACCAACGCGCCCTACTAACTACCTTAATCAACAAAGTACTGTAGATCTTTGGACCTGGGGTGATAACATTTAATGGCTAACTAAACAGACTGTAGTGCAAGGGTTAAAGGTACTACAACCCTTGGCAAGTGACGTGGGCTCACCTAAAGGGAACAGAGTCTACGCACCAGCTGGTTTTCACCAGAGCTGATGGTGGTGATGGGTTTCTTTGTGTGCTGGTACAGCCCACAAGATCGCCCCATCATGGGGTGGTTGGGAGCAAGGAGGCTATGATGTGTGGACAGAAGACTAGAGAGTAGTCAGGATCAAGCAAAGGGTCAAGGCAGAAAGCTGGCAGCAGAGTGGTCTATTTCCAGACAAAGGGTCAAGGCTGGTGGCAAGCAAGAGAATAGTCATGGTCCAGGTAGCGGTCGAGGCAGGCAGCAGGCAAAAAAAAAGTCAGAAACTGTCAAGATCAGCAACAAGTCAGGCA